GTCATATGTTCATTTCATAACATGTATTAGTTAACAAACTCTCAGTAGTTGGTTACTATTATACAGCTTAAAGTATCATTATACCTTAAGCACAATTCTGTTATAACTTACATATATGCATATTGTAAGCTTACTACTTTGGTTCTTATAAAAGTATTCATTATAAACTATCAACAGTTTATACTATCACATTAATAGCTTTAGCTTAATTAATGTTCTATATACTTTTATTATATTCAGTAAATTGTAATAACCCTTATATGGCAACTGATAAGTTAACAGCAGGAATTCAGTTCAGTGCCTTCATGAAGTTCCCTTAGGGTTATTACAATTATCTCAGTTCAAATCACTAATTAGTAAAATCCAAAGTATATATAATCCCACCTCCTATTCCGTGAGGATTCTACAGCAAATAAACATGAGTCAGGATAAGGAAAAATATGAAATTTTTAAAGTAAAATTAATATTTTTATACTTATCCTGACTCATGAGGTAAGCCCTCCCGTCCTCCCCACTTAACACTTTGGATTTCCCTGGAAATTCAGGTGTTGGGCTCAGTATATGAGGAGAGAGTGAGGCACATGGGTTCAGGTGGCGCCCTCGTTCCCGCACTTGTGGAAGGGAGGTAACTCGTGGTCAGTACTAATGAGTGATTTTTTATTGAAGGGAACTTCAATTGGGAGATACAAGTGTTCCACTAGGTTCGCCAGAAGAAGAAGACAAGCAAATAAACATGAGTCAGGATAAGTATAAAAATATTAATTTTACTTTAAAAATTTCATTTTTAAATTTCTAAATTATTGTGATAATAAACTCTCCATAACCCATGAGGACTGTAATCTGTTACCTCCAGGCAAGCCACCAGTAGAGTGGGGCCAAGGCCTGCTGGATGTTCTACCACAAGCCTTGCAGTATGTCCTGGACAGCGGCCACTACCCAGAAGAAAATGAAAATGCCTGGTAAGGTAGACACTACCAGCCTTGCCTCTTCTTCAACATTTCCCATGTGATATCCCTAAGATCCACAGCTTTTGTCTTGTTCAGCTGCATGTCAAGGGTAGGAAATTTGTCATGTAATTCACTCACTCCTTCAACTGAATTTCTCTCATGCTGATTGCATTCTCTTCTAATGTCAACATGAAAAGACTCTTGCAGTTTCATCAGTGTTGACCAGCCAATGAAATTGAGAAACATATGACTGAGTGACTTTTACATTAACTAGATGTTGTACATCAATGGTGGTGTTTCCAGGACTAGGAGAATATTGTGAAATGTTTCTGCAGCTAAAAGAAACTAACATTCAATTGATTTTCTGATCTATTTCAGGCCATACTTCAAGGAAAACTGGGAAGCGTATGTGGAGTTGAGGAAACTGGCATCTGGAAAGCCAGTGTTTCCTGACAATTACGATGAGCCAGAAGTGAGGGACATTTTCTATAGACGCGTCAGTTTCCGTGGATGGGGTGGAGCTAGTGGCCATGACTCCACAATCATTGCGTGAGTAGACACAGAGTGGAAGCACAGCGATGGATAAGATTAATCAGAGCATGGCAGTTTGAAAAATATATGTCCTTCTCATGAAAACTGGTGCTGGAAATGTGAACTGCATCACCTTCATTATATGTATAGGCAGCATTCGAAATACCCGCCGGCCTGGGACGGGTTATTTTCAACACGGACTGCCAGATTCTCAAATTCACCTGCCGGACAGTTGGGTTAAAATGAAGACATGTGTATGAAGCTATTCATCATATTTCAGGATAATAAATCATTATGATTCACTCGTAAAAATAAATGATGAATTCCAATTGGATGAAAGACTAAATTGGATGTCAAACCTAAATTATTTGTGGGCAGGTAAGTTTTGGTCAGGGCTGGCAAGTTTTACGTCTAACTAGCCCTGTGGTCTGGCTGGCAAGTTTTACGTCTAGCCAGCCCAGTGGTCTGGCTGAAAGTTTTGGGAGTTTCATACCCTGGTATAGGGCATGTTATCGTCAGAATCTGACGTTTCTCATATTAGTGAGGAGTCACATTGTTTTTTTGCTGTGTTTATCTTGTGTCTTTGCACATTGCAGTAAAATGAATGCCTTATTTCTACTGGGGAAACCGCATGCTGCCCTAATCTGGGCACTGTATATGTTCCAGGGACAACACTAGGTAGCCGGCATTAGCTAATCCGGAATATTGTTGAACACTATCATCAAGACCAACAATGTTTGAGTGTTTGTTGTATTGTGTTTACTTCAGCTACGACGCCAACTTGGGGGCTGGACAAGACTGGAAACAGCTGTGCATGAGGTTGGTATCAGCAGGATTGCCATTGGTCAGGGCGAGAATAAGAACCACATTTGATATTTGAAATCAGGTCATGGGAAACTATAGTTGAGTATCATTTGGCTTCACCATTATCTTGTCAGCAATTCCTTGTTATATGCAGTTAAATCTGTATCATCACAAAATCCAGTGCTTTCTAAAATGATTGGTTGGTTGGTTTGTTGTTTACAACACTAAGCAAATACTCCCGGTATGTGTCGGTGGCCTGTAAATAAGTGAGTCAGGACCAGACAATCCAGTGCTTTCTGAGGCAAAGACAAATTAGCTGGAAATAAATCTTGAAATCAAAGATGAACAGAGACAGACATGAAATGCATTTATTCAGAGTGATAGAGTTAAAGCCAAAGCAAGAAAGATCCTGCAATATTTATCAAACACAAACACAGTGGAAACAGAATTACTTATCATTATATAATTAATTTATCATGACATATTGTGCAAGTCAAATAGGAGTATAGGTAATTGTACAACAAAACATGATGTCATTGTGTTGCAGTGTTATTGCCTGATGTCGTAGCACTGAAAGGTGTCATCAATGGAATTTCTCTCAAGTTTGAATGATATGTAAATGGGTATGTTTTTATCTATTAGCAAAACAAAAGGAAATGAGAATAAAGAAATCAAAATGTTTTATTATAGATCATGTTAATTTGTTCTGTTTAGTTGTACAGATTGATTAATAGAGATACATATCATACAGATAGTTAAATAATCTTAACATGCTTAATAGATTCCATCAATGTTTCTTAATGTAAATGGGTTACTGGGGTCTTTTTTTCTATTTGCAAGTCCACCTGAGTGCTAGTCCTAAAACTATATATATATATATATATATATATATATATATATTGACATAATTTGCAGCTATGTGAAATGGGAGTGCTTTACAGTTTGTTTGCAATTAGATTCTTTTTAATGTCTATGCATAAATGTTGTTGACCGTGAAGAATACATCTTCCCAGACTTCTTCGGAGGAGTCCTTTTGGCACATTTCTTGAAAAAGTCAAAGGTCAAGGTCAAAAGGATGACCAAAACTATCACAAAAAATAATGGTTACAATTTCTCAAACAGTTTTACAAAATGTATCATTGAATATGTGGAGGGTATATATCTTCTCCGAGATGGTTCCCTTCTTACAATTTTTTTTTTTTTAACATTAGTCAAAAGTCAAACTCAACTTTCAATACATGGTTACATTTCCAACAACATTTTGTTCTTGCATGTTTTTTGCAAAACCATACCACAACAGATATCAATAGCAGACTGGTCAATGTTTCTTTTGAGGTAATTATCAAATGTTCATATTTTTCCTCGAATGCAGTATAAAATACCTGTGAACTTATGGGCCTGGCACATGTTGTGAGAAGATTAAGTCAAGGTCAAGAGATAGGAAAATCTCAGTAAACAGTTTGTGGTTACTCTCTCCCAAAATGTATTTCTGCATTTATCACTAAATTTGGTATATAACCTCTTCAGAATGGGGTCCAGCATTGTGCAAGTGTTTTTGTAAAAAAAACCAATGCATCATGCTACTGCAATGTGGCTGTAATAATGAGTGAGTGAGGTTCTACACGCCTTTTAGAAATATTCCAGCAATATCACGGCAGTGGGACACCAAAAATGGGCTTCACACATTGTACCCATGTAGGGAAGCGAACCTGGGTCTTTGGTGTGATGAGCAAACGCTTGAACCACTAGGCTACCCCTCCGCCCTGGCTGTAATGTATGTGCTGCCTGCTGAGTAACACTCCTTCACCTCCATCTTACATAGGGGCATGTTCCATCGCGGAGACAATGACAGTACAGGGACTATAGCGGCATGTTGGTACGGGGCGATGTACGGCTTCCAAGGGGTGCCAGAGGGCAACTACAAAGTAAGTACTGACCAAAGTTTTATGTTATGGTCTACCTGTGTTTTTTGTCATTATGATGAAACTTTTTGTGAAACTTTCTATTTCTTATGTGTGATTCTAATTGTATCTCATCTTGACATAGTAACAAAGTATAAGGTCACTGGTTAAATATACATGTATCTTTGGCTGTGGCCAAAAGGATTTTGCCAGGTAGACAATCAGAAATGTTTTGTTTTATATTTGGCTTTTGTGGAGGTTGATTGTTCAGTGCAAAATTGGTTTGGTTTTGTATTGAAATATATTCTTGTCAAGACTGTATGATAAAGTGGGAAAAGGTTCAAATGATGTTGAAAGTGAATGTATGTTTCCAGAATCTAGAGTACAGAGACCGTCTAGAAAGACTTGCAGAGGAGTTGTATAATCTGGCCCACACAAGTAAGGTTAGTCAGGACAACCCTGAGGAGATGGATGGGTCGGATGTGGATCCTAAACAGATCAAGAAAGATTCCAGGAATGAAGACAGTTGCTACTCTAAAGGCCCAGGGATGGATGAGAGAGAAGCCATGGAGGAGCCAAAGGATGAAAAAGAGGGATGCAAGATGGAAAATAAACCTACAGATGGTACGGCAGAGGAGAGGAAAGGTCAGTGTTCACCGTCTGCTACAGAAAATACCGAGGTGCTGATCCCCCTCCACCAAGACAGGTGAAGATGGAAAATGAACCTACAGATGGAACGGCAGAGGAGAGGAAAGGTCAGTGTTCACCGTCTGCTACAGAAAATACAGGAGGTGCTGATCCCACTCCACACACACAGGTGAAGATGGAAACTGAACCTACAGATGGAACGGCAGAGGAGAGGAAAGCTCAATGTTCACCGTCTGCAAAGGAAAAAAATGGGAAGTGCTGATCCCACTCCACCAAGACAGGTGACAGATGAATGTCATTATTGTGTAAATATACTGAAATCCATTAGAAACACATCAGCGGGATAAAACGATTTATCTCCCTGATTAATGAAGAAAAGAAATTGTCCCTACTGACATTGAAATTGTCAATCAAGATGGAAACACAAGAGAAAAGACCGCCTCCGTGGTGTAGTGGTTAGAGCGTCCGCCCGGAGAGCGGAAGGTCGCGGGTTCGATCCCCGACCGCGTCATACCAAACGACGTTAAAATATGGTACTTGTTGGTCCCTGCCTGGCGCTCGGCATTAATGGGTACAACAAGGACTGGTCGGCTCGGAGTCAGTATAATGTGTCTGAGTGGGGTATTCATGCTTCACTGCGGCGTGGTATCTCAGTGGGCTAGCACTATAAAACCAGCTTCAGTCTGGGCTAGTACAAGCAGCCGCACACACACATACACACGCATGCACGTCGTCATATGAGCGAAATATTCTCAAGCACGACGTTAAACCCAATTTCACCTCACCTCACCTCACAAGAGAAAAAGGCAGTCATTCATCATCTAGTTCAACCATAGAATAAATTAACATTGACGGGGTCAAACTGAAATTTCACACATGCTCAGAACTTTCACATAGTCAATGTCAGTAACGGGTTTGGCCTACATTTGTTTCGAGCACTGCCATACATCTTCGTCTCATCAATAAATCACTTGCGGTAATTGAAGCCATATTCATTACAAAGCTAGTTATTTTGTTGAACATCTCCCCGCACATCAGCACGGGATCCGGAGATGGCATCTCCCCACACATCAGCACGGATCTGGAGATGGCATCATCCCACACATCAGCACGGGATCCGGAGATGGCATTATCCCACACATCAGCACCGGATCTGGAGATCGCATCATCCCACACATCAGCACCGGATCTGGAGATGGCATCATCCCACACATCAGCACCGGATCTGGAGATGGCATCATCCCACACATCAGCACCAGATCCGGAGATGGCATCATCCCACACATCAGCATGGGATCTGGAGATGGCATCATCCCACACATCAGCACGGGATCCGGAGATGACATCATCCTACACATCAGCACGGGATCCAGAGATGGCATCATCCCACTAATCAGCACCAGATCCGGAGATGGCATCATCCCACACATCAGCACGGATCCAGAGATGGCATCAGCCCACACATCAGCACGAGATCTGGAGATGGCATCATCCCACACATCAGCACGGGATCTGGAGATGGCATCATCCCACACATCAGCACGGGATCCAGAGATGGCATCATCCCACACATCAGCACGGGATCCAGAGATGGCATCAGCCCACACATCAGCACCAGATCCAGAGATGGCATCAGCCCACACATCAGCACCATATCCGGAGATGGCATCATCCCACACATCAGCACCAGATCTGGAAATGGCATCATCCCACACATCAGCACCAGATCCGGGGATGGCATCAGCCCACACATCAGCACCAGATCCGGAGATGGCATCATCCCACACATCAGCAAGGGATCCGGAGATGGCATCATCCCACACATCAGCACCAGATCCGGGATGGCATCATCCCACACATCAGCACGGGATCCGGAGATGGCATCATCCCACACATCAGCAAGGGATCCGGAGATGGCATCATCCCACACATCAGCACCAGATCTGGAAATGGCATCATCCCACACATCAGCACCAGATCCGGGGATGGCATCATCCCACACATCAGCACCAGATCCGGAGATGGCATCATCCCACACATCAGCACGGGATCCGAGATGGCATCATCCACACATCAGCAAGGGATCCGAGATGGCATCATCCCCACATCAGCACCAGATCTGGAAATGGCATCATCCACACATCAGCACCAGATCCGGGATGGCATCAGCCCACACATCAGCACCAGATCCGGAGATGGCATCATCCCACACATCAGCAAGGGATCCGGAGATGGCATCATCCCACACATCAGCACCAGATCCAGAGATGGCATCATCCTACACATCAGCACCAGATCCGGAGATGGCATCAGCCCACACATCAGCAAGGGATCCGGAGATGGCATCATCCCACACATCAGCACCAGATCCGGAGATGGCATCATCCCACACATCAGCACGGGATCCGGAGATGGCATCATCCCACACATCAGCACGGGATCCGGAGATGGCATCATCCCACACATCAGCAAGGGATCCGGAGATGGCATCATCCCACACATCAGCACCAGATCCGGGATGGCATCATCCCACACATCAGCATCGATCCGAGATGGCATCATCCCACACATCAGCAAGGGATCCGGTGATGGCATCATCCCACACATCAGCACCAGATCTGGAAATGGCATCATCCCACACATCAGCACCAGATCCGGGGATGGCATCATCCCACACATCAGCACCAGATCCGGAGATGGCATCATCCCACACATCAGCACGGATCCGGAGATGGCATCATCCCACACATCAGCAAGGGATCCGAGATGGCATCATCCCACATCAGCACCAGATCTGAAATGGCATCATCCCACACATCAGCACCAGATCCGGGGATGGCGTCAGCCCACACATCAGCACCAGATCCGGAGATGGCATCATCCCACACATCAGCAAGGGATCCGGAGATGGCATCATCCCACACATCAGCACCAGATCCGGAGATGGCATCATCCTACACATCAGCACCAGATCCGGAGATGGCATCAGCCCACACATCAGCAAGGGATCCGGAGATGGCATCATCCCACACATCAGCACCAGATCTGGAGATGGCATCATCCCACACATCAGCACCAGATCCGGAGATGGCATCATCCCACACATCAGCACCAGATCCGGAGACGGCATCATCCCACACATCAGCACCATATCCGGAGATGGCATCATCCCACACATCAGCACCAGATCCGGAGATGGCAGGACAGGAATGTTGTGTTGCTGAAGAAAGTCCATGCTGTGTCCAGTAGCATTGGGTCGTGCATTATCCTGGTGCAGAAAGTGATGACAGTAATCAGCCGCCATGTGGAGTGATGACTGTTGCTCTCAGTTCCTCTGCTGTAGACGTTTGAGCTGTAACTCGACCACGACGGATGTGCAATGTCTCCTGCCATGACTACAAATCCCTCCCCAAATCTTAATGCTGCCATCATCCCATCTCAAGTCAAGTGATTTTCAGCAAATGGTGGGTCACATGATCACACAGGGATACACATGCTTCTCGGTGTACATCTCGTTTTTCTGTCATAGTCAGATTACTACAAGCACAGTTTGGATTCAATATTCGTTTTGCATATTCCATGATCAACGATAATAAGGTGATGCGTTTCTAATGGATTTGAGTATATAAAATGACAATTTCTTCAGTTATTTATGTGTAATTATTTTAACATGTTGAAATAACTTTTATATAAAATAATGTTTATTACATATATGTGTAATATGTATGAAAACCTATGCACTGGCAAAGACTAACCGACATGGAGCATGTATGAGCTAATTATCCTTGTGCAGAATGTGAAGACATTGATCTGCCCCCAAGTCTCAGTACCTCTGCTGTACACATTTGAGCTGTAACTCGACCACCAGGACAGATGTTTAGAGGTGTCCTGCCATGACTTCTAATCCCTCCCCAAATCTTAATGCTGCCACCATCCCATCAGTTCACCTGCTGAACGCAACAATCAACAATTGCACATTCCATGATTAATGGCAATAGGATGTTGAATTACAGAATATCAAATGACGATGTGATACAATTTTGTTGAATTTCTTCAGTTATTACATGTGTTATTATTTTTAACTTGTTGAAAATATTTTTATATAAAATGATGGTTTTTGCCATATATTTGTGATATGTATGAAACCTTGCACTGAGCATGTATGAGCTCTCTGTGGTATGTTTTTTAGACTTATTTTGTAATCATTAACATTTTACTTTTTTACACCTTTACTCATTATGACGTACATTTGTCTATAAAAATCATTTTTATCCTCTGCTTATACAAAGAAAGACTTTGTCCTTTGTTCTAGTTCACTTAATTAAAGAGCATTGCACATATACCATTCAATATTTCTTCCTGAAACTGTCTTGTCAACTCTATACCACCAACAGGCATTCACAGAACTGGTGCTTTCTGCCATTCAAAAAACTTACAATTTGTTTGAGTGGCATTTGAGAAGGTTGTGGTATAGAGTTGACAAGACTTTATGGATGATCAACTTCTTTATTTTCACAATGGCGACGGTTTGGTATTGATTCTTATACCCTGTTCTAGCATATGAGGATAAGGGGATGATAAGGAGAGCAGTACATTGGTTGTATGCCAGGAAGATACCACCAACCTTCCGTACCATCAGGGAAGAGATCAATGATACCATTAACTGGTATCACTGTTCTCCATGAAATGGGATTTAGGTGTTAAGCAAGGGGAGATGTTCGTTGAGTGTTTCGTGAAAAGTATTCAATCCTCACCCTCAGGTTGAACAATCTCGAAAGCATCGACGAATACCTGGAGTTGGGTTTTCAGGTAGTATACCTCGATGAGACCTGGGTGAACAAAAATCACTCTACGGATTACCTGTGGCTACCGCCAGGTGATACATGCAATTCCTTTACAATTCCGTCCGCCCGGAGAGCGGAAGGTCGCGGGTTCGATCTCCGATCGCGTCATACCAAAAGACGTTAAAATATGGTACTTGTTGGTCCCTGCCTGGCGCTCGGCATTAATGGGTACAACAAGGACTGGTCGGCTCGGAGTCAGTATAATGTGTCTGAGTGGGGTATTCATGCTTCACTGCGGCGTGGTATCTCAGTGGGCTAGCACTATAAAACCAGCTTAAGTCTGGGCTAGTACAAGTAGCCAGCACGTCCACATACACACGCATGCACGCCGTCATATGAGCGAAATATTCTCAAGCAAATTAAACCCAAATTCACCTCACCTTTACCATTCCATCTTGTAAAGATAAACGCCTCATCGTTGTTCATGCTTTTACACGTGATTCTGGTCTCGCTGACGGATGCGAACTCGTCTTTGAGACCAAATCTTCGATAATAATCGCCAGGAGATAAACGGTGAGGTGGTCCTTGAGTGGATGGAATGTCAGCCCTACCCCGTCTGGAGAATCCTAGTGTCATGATTACGGATAACGCCAGTTCTAACATCCGCGTACCGGAAACAGTGACCCCCACCACGAGTTACTGTAAGGCTCAAATGCTAGAATTTCTGACCTCATGCAAGGTGTCTTTTGGACTGGCAGAAACCAAAGTTCAGCTCATGGAAAATATCAGACAGCACAGGAAACATTGTCAGGTCAGACACGTTAGCACAGCGGCATAGTCATGTTGTCTTACAGACTCCCGTGAGACCGTGTGAGCTGAATCAGATTGAGTTTATCTGGGCTAAATGTAAGGGCTTTGTAGCCAGTCACAACACGTCCTTTCAGATGTCCGATATCAAAGATCTTGTTCATGCATCTTTTGCCAGAAATACACCCGTGATCAACAGCTCGATGGCGTCGACGTGGGTCGTGTCAGACCCGTCGTCATAATCTGACTCCACTGATTCAGAGGTTGATCACACCTGAACACTACCGGCCATGTTTGAACATAACTCATCTGTTATATGATGAGAGGGTGTCGCAGACGGTGGTTGGGGTCGGGCTGGGAGATACAGATATCAGCTAAGGTAAGATAATCCTTTAGGGGAATTTAACTGGGGAAGTAAATGGCATGTCATAACAATTTACACATAATATCCAGTCACCTCGACCTTCGGGCGGTCATGCCACCAATATATTTTGAGACATTTAATGCGATGACGGATTTAAGCTTTTCTGTGGGTATCATACTCTTTTACATATCTCAGTATTATCTTTATGAAAGAAAGACACGTAAGATCTTAATCAATAGATGAGGCATATTCAACACACATGTAAAAGCAAAAAAAAAATGTTTGAGAAGACCCCTTGTGTCTAAAGGCAGCACCGTGCCAGCTCTCTCTAGTCCGTCAACTTAACTTTTGGCACCCTGTTTTTCACAATTTACATATAACTCCTGAATATTTTAAAACACTGCTCTGTTCATATGGATATTGTATACCGTGACCTAACAAGATATCGATTTTAGTAATTTTAAAACGATTATTAAAGTTTTTGCCTTTAAACCTGTCATATAATAATTGTAAAACTGTGGAGAGTTTTACGAGGGGTTAACGCACCTGACGGAAAAGCCAACAACACTGTGAAATGTGTGTCAGCGTGATATGTACATGCACGGGTATTTACATTAGCACGCTTAAGTGATGTCAAAGATCGTCAACACGCACAGGTTGTAGGGAAAACGATGTTGTACAAAGATGACCGGCAAATCATCAAAAGAGGTTACAACTTTTTCAAGCGCGAGGCAAAGCGAAAAAAACCTCTCTTTTTTTAATTGAATGTTTCTCCAAAAGACATTTAAAGCCACGAAGATCTGCAAAAGAATGTTGCAAAGAGTTATCTCCCATGACACTTTTTCAGAGCCTGACGATGACATGGCAGTTAAATCGGGGACCGTCTCAAAACATGCAAAGAAAACAAAGCGTGATGAATTCGATAGAAGGGTTGTGAGTGACGTCATGCGTCGGTTACATCGATCCATATTGTCAAGCAAACTGACGAAAATATTGTTCAAAAGAAGACCATGACATAATTGTATCAAAGCATACCATATGCAAGCTGTTGCTCAAATTTGGATATAGATACACGAGATCAAGCAACCAGTCTTTAAAGACTTCAATGAATCTACTTGTTTAAAATGGATTTATGATTTTAAACAGTCCCTGTAGATTTGCTTGCAGGCGTAACAATGTAAACAAGATGCACGTGTGTCACACCATGTTGTTGGCTGTTCCATCGTATCATTTTACTCCCTTGTATAACTACTTCTATTTTTCATAATTTTATAAGATGGCTTCTTAAGAAGAAGCTTTAATAATTGACATAAAATTATGAAATTTATACCTTGGATAGGTCATAAGATATAAAGAGCGTATGCACAAAAACATTTTGAAGGCATTTTTGGTTAAAAGGTAAATTGTGAAAAACAGGGTGCCAAAAGTTCAGTTGACGGACTATAGATAAGTATTTGTTCACGATCCATTCTGAGACTTTGGTCATTGATCACATCGTTATGATTATTGGTTACGCCTTCTCCTGTCACGCTCTAATATGGGTGGAGTAGCCTATTGATTAAAGGGGGCGGTGGGGTAGCCTATTGGTTAGAGCGTTGGCTCATCACGCCGAAGACCCGGGTTCGAATCCCCACATGGGTACAATATGTGAGGCCCATTTCTGGTGTCCCCTGCCGTGATATTGCTGGAATATTGCTAAGAGCGGCGTAAAACCATACTTAGTCAGTCAGTATTGGTTAAAGCGTCCGCTCGTCACGTGGGTTCGATCCACGGGTACAATTTCTGGTGTCCCCCGCCGTGATATTGCTGGAATATTGCTAAAAGGGGCGTAAAACCTTACTCACTCACTCTAACGTGGGTAGCAAATCTGAGACCCTTTCTTGGTGCCCCATGGCGTCCCACACTCACTCACTCAGGTACAACAAAGACACTGTTATATTGATAGCATTTATTAAGTATATTACTGCCGAGAGGTTACATCACTCTACGAATATACTGGTAACTATAGTAACGTATACCACAGAGCAATAGAATGAGCGTTCGTTGTGCCGAGTCCGTCCAATGAGAGGTCATTCACAGCCTCAGGCTGAACATCATGTACATGCCCATCTAGACGAGCCAGAATAACAATAAATACAATGTTAATAAATACAATATCACTAGCAGTGCAGAGCAGTTCCATATTTGGCCTAGGTCAAATTTTCACGTTTTTTCAATTTTCTAAAATATTTTGACATAATGACCTTGAAACCAAAGGAAGTCAGAGCCACAGACAGGACGCACATGAGGGCGTGTCACCATGCCCCACAGCTGCGTCCTACTGGAGCGGAGGGATTGGGAAAGAAAATGCATAGGCTATTGTCTAATAATTGCCTTCACTCTCATTGGATATTGTAGAGGACAGGTAAGAGTGAGACGTTATTCCCCGAGCAACGCTTCCTCTCTGAAAGAAGAAAAAAGACCACATAAACAATAAAGCATTGCAAAGTGGATAACGTACATATATAGAGCGTCATAGTAGTGCATTATTATGTTTTGTATTGTTTCTCTGCTCCGATGACATCTTCGAGTTCAATACAAAACATCCAAATGCACTAGTATGACGTTCTATATTTATTATATACCCTCTTATCTTGCATTAATCTGTTACTTAAATAACAAATTCAATACGGAATCTGAGGTGCAATACGGAATTTGACCACGTCACCCTTATTGCACCCTGTATTACTATCCGAAGTTTACATGGGTATGTAATAAAGTACATTATAGCAGATATATGTTTCTGCTGCTGCTGATATGTATGTCCACCGATAATGGACTCATCTCACTCTGGTCGGACCGCATCCGTGCTGTAGTGGTTACAGCGTCCGCCCGGAGAGCGGAAGGTCGCGGGTTCGATCCCCGGCTGCGTCATACCAAAAGACGTTAAAATATGGTACTTGTTGGTCCCTGCCTGGCGCTCGGCATTAATGGGTACAACAACGACTGGTCAGTAAATTGTGTCTGAGTGGGGTATTCATGCTTAACTGCGGCATGGTATCTCAGTGAACTAGCACTATAATACCAGCTTAAGTCTGGGCTAGTACAAGCAGCCAAACAAACACGCATGCACGTCGTCATATGAGCGAAATATTCTTTGGTACGACGATAAACCCCATTTCACCTCACCTCAATCTGGTCGTAACTTCAACAACTCATAACACGGTAAAATCTAGCTGCCACCTTCAACTGATTACAGAAGCCTAGTCTGGAGTCCCAGTAAGTGTGAAGCTGGTCAGTATACCACCCGCTTACGTCAACAATTCAAGATGTTCTTAGTCATATAGAGACAAGGATATGAGTAGACTAACGCTTAGTACCTGAATATATATAATTTTGATAATAACAAATAAACCCATTTAAATTGAAAAGGAGCTCTGGTGAGGGAAAATAATGTGGTTCAGGAACCGCGAGACAGACAAGGAGCTACACAAGGCCAACCAGTCATGGAGCGGAGTGACCTTTCAGGTAATACCCGATCGTCAACTAAGTCAGCATTCGGCTTGATTTACTTCTACAGACTTTACTGTAAAACGTGCAATATCAAGTCAATATCCGTATAACATCTACCTTGAAAATACTACGTTTATCGTAACATCCGTACATTTTAGGCATTGCGTTAATCGTGTATACTTGACAACGTTAATACCACGTGGGGAATGTTGTTAGAATGCGGATGAAGTGACACGTGCTTCTCAACCTAAACACGTAAGTGTGATGAATTAATGATAGGTGCGGTGTGGACAAGTACAACAAACTGCAACACACCCACAGATTCCTGTAGTGTTAAGGGTACTAGGAGGCATGTTAGGTGACGGTTTGCGCTATATAACATCTACATAAGCTTATCTACTGTGGTACTGCTGAAAGAAGGGGACACGTAGGCGACTCACTCACGCTCGAAATGTGTTGTATCTATCTGTTGTATTTACTGGAAATAGAATATCATGAAATACACAACGCCATTCTAGAAAGTGGTCAAATGTAACATATGTTATATTTGGGATTACACTTTCTTTGTAAAGTACAGATTCTATTACTTTTGTTGGGTCTGACACAAAGTCAGACGCCTAGACCGCTCAGCCGTGAGCTGTGGAAGCCGCGGTGGCTGAGCGGTCTAGGCGTCTGACTTTGTGTGCTCGCGATTAGGTGCCTGACTCTGAGGGTGTGGGTTCGAATCCCGGATGGGACTCAACCCAACAAAAGTACTAGAATCTGTACTTTACAAAGAAAGTGTAATCCCAAATATACCATATGTTTAATAGAATATCAGTCATGTACTCTTACCCATTATGTTTTGCCTACCATTATCCATAATGCATGTCTCACATGAGTTTTATTCAGAATGGCTGTTTGGTTTTAGAAAAATATTGCATTCTTTTGAATTTGTGATTCGAACTGTCGTTCTTCCTGTGCTACTTGTTTAACTAAATTTCATGTCTGCCAAATCCTTTCCTTTCAATGGCCAAATCCGATTTGGTAAATGTAATTTTAGGGCCAAATCCTTTGCCTCTCTATCCTTTCAATGGAACATTCAAGAATATATCATATAAGGAGTCGAAACTGACGTGTACAATGGCTGTGCAAGACTTAATTGTCTCAGATAAAACTAAGAATTGTTCTGCCCTACTTTTAAATTTAGTGTTGATTGGTTGGTTTGTTGTTTAACCCCGCAATCATCAATATTCAAGCTATATGGCGGCGGTCTGTGAATAATCGAGTCTGGACCAGACAATCCATTGATCACCTGTATGAACATCAATCTACGCAATTGGGATACGATGACAAGTGTCAACCAAGTCAGCGAGCGTGACCACCCGATCCCCTTAGTCGCCACTTACGACATTTAGATTTAGTGTATTTTCTTTGTATGGGTATCTAGAAATAAGATGTCTTTGAGTCGAGTCAACGGGTTGTCTTGGCTGTACTCACACTGATACTGGAGGAGGTATTGGGTGCCATGGACACCGAACTACGGTACTTGGCACGGAGCTTATTCATGGTGGCCTCGGCCGACTCCGCGCGTTCCTCGGCGTCCTCCAGCTCTGACTGGACCTTGCGGAACTTGGTCAGATTCACTGCAGCGATCTCCTCCTGTAAACAGAGATAAACAGTGAGACAATCGGACTCAGACAATGGGAGTAAACAGTGAGACAATCGGACTCCCGCACAGGGAGTAAACAGTGAGACAATCGGACTCCCGCACAGGGAGTAAACAGTGAGACAATCGGACTCCCGCACAGGGAGTAAACAGACTATTGCACTCACAACTTACATACAGGTTGTAAACAGAGACACAATCAGACTAAACAATCAGACTTAAATACAGGTTGTAAACAGAGACACAATCAGACGAAACAGTCAGACAATCAGACTTACAGACAGGTTGTAAACAGAGACACAATCAGACGAAACAGTCAGACAATCAGACTTACAGACAGGTTGTAAACAGAGACACAATCAGACGAAACAGTCAGACAATAAGATTTACAAACAGGTTGTAAACAGAGACACAATCAGACTAAATAGTCAGACAATAAGACTTTCAGACAGGTTGGAAATTGACACAATCAGACTAAATAGTCAGACAATCAGACTTACAGGCAGGTTGTAAACAGAGACACAATCAGACTAAATAGTCAGACAATCAGACTTACAGGCAGGTTGTAAACAGAGACACAATCAGACTAAATAGTCAGACAATAAGAAGCTCAGACAGGTTGTAAACAGAGACACAACCAGACTAAATAGTCAGACAATAAGAAGCTCAGACAGGTTGTAAACAGAGACACAATCAGACTAAACAGTCAGACAATAAGACGCTCAGACAGGTTGTAAACAGAGACACTATCAGACTAAATAGTCAGACAATAAGAAGCTCAGACACGTAGTTTCTGTCAAAACAACCTGACAAAAGAACGCAACTCAACACTGCAAATGTTGACATAAAGAGCGAGACTTACGGCCTCTTCCACCTGGCGCTTGTAGGTCTTGATCTTGCCGTTCAGTTGTTCGATGACATCTTGAAGGCGTTCAATGTTCTTCCTGTCCTCCTCGGCCTGGAACGCAATCTCCTTCAGACGTCTGTCGGCCTTGCGCATGTTCTTCTGAGTGTCCGCGTGGCGGCGCTGTTCGCTATCAAGTTCAGTCTCCAACTCCTGGACCTATGCATCATTCGAAAAGTTCGGTTCAAACAAAGGTGCCGAGAAATTCGAGTCAGTAACTTTACACTTGTCAACAAATGATTCGCTTATGAATTCGGACGCCTTACTTATGAAGGTTGATCTTAAATGTTTTCAAAACATTTACAGACACCGCCTCTGTTCTTTGTTCATCACAGACACGCAGTGGCTACTTGCATAGAACGCTCTTGAATACAAGTGATCTTACGCACTGAAACCTCAAGATAACCATCGTATTATCTTCGAACTTCGAACGGTTTTGTTAAAAACTTCATCAATAAATCTTAAACCAACACTTACCCTCTGTTCGAGCTTAGCAACAGTCCTCTTGCCTTCCTTGAGGGCCTGTGCTTCTGACTCGTCCAGGCGAGTCTGTAGCTCCTTGACCTGAGCCTCGAGGCCCTTCCTGACCTTCTCAATCTGCATGCTGTGATCCTGTTCTTGGCGAAGCTCGTCCACCATGCGGGTGGCGTCTGCAGCAGCCCGGGTCGCAGCCTCGTTGGCCTTGGCAACTTCGGAACTCATTTCTTCGATGTCAGTCTGGAAGATATACAAAACATATTAACAGTCAGTCAGCATTACAGTAACGAGCAGATCAATTCTTAATTCTGTTTTTCAATATATTGTTCCACATTGATTATTGCAATTAAGGTTGTGAATTAAGCAAAGGAATTCGTGATGATATTATAAAGTCAGGTAAGCTATGTACCGTTACGCCCCCATTGTGTCATGATCTGAGTACTGTCGGTGATTTATTTACTGTATAAATCAGTTGACTATTATGAACGATCGACAGCAACAGTCAGAACGTAATTATACATGAACTTCAATATCACTTCTTTTGGAATACGTTTGTCAACCAGACCTCGTGACAATCGACGTAATCGTCATATTGTGTATGGACATCATATGGTCTCAACGGCTGATGAATCATGTGACAAACCATATGGTCAACGATCTGTCCAATATTAACAATCTCGATACATGCTTTCTTTATTTGTTGTTTAACGCCTCACTCAGCAATATTCCAGCTATATGGCTGGAAATAATCCAGTCAATCGAGTGATCAACAGCATTAGAATCGACTACGCAATTAGGATACGATGAGATGTGTCAACGAGTCATCGAGCCTGGCCATATGATCCCTCTAGTCGCCTCCTACGATAAGGGTTGCTGAAGACCAATTCTAACCCAGATCTTCACGGGTTTTCATGCATATAAATGGGATATGATACATATATACCGACGCACCTGCATAGCAGTAATGTCAGCTTCCAGCTTCCTCTTCTGGCCTGACAAAGATTGCACCTGTGCTGCGAGTTCGTTAACGCGATCATTTGCGTCCATGAGTTCATTCTCAGCTCCCTTGCGAGCCCGATCGGCAGAGTCGAGTGCTGAGCGAAGTTCTTCGGCCTCACCGCTGAGCATGTTGACGCGGCGTTCGGTCATGTTTGCAGCATCACGGGCTTCATCCACCTTACGCTTCTCCTCCTCTACTGCGATCTCCAATTCCTGAAGAGACATCAATTGTTTATGTATCCTGACATCCAATATTACATACCTCGGACTAGAGAACATATATTTGTTATCACATTCGTTAAATATCTGGTGCACGTACTTCACGCGTGAATTTTCCATGTAACAAGCACACGGAGTCCTCCCAGAAACACCGACCCCTTCGCCTCAACCTACCTTGACGGTTTGCTGGTATTTCTTGGCGTTCTTCTCAGCATCGGCTCTGGTTCTGTTGGCGCTATCAACTGCAACCTCCAGCTCGTTGATGTCAGCTTCCAGCTTCTTCTTGATCCTCATGGCCTCAGCCCTGCCCTTCACCTCAGCGTCCATACTGGCTTGCATGGAATCAAGGGCGCGCTGGTGGTTGCGGCTGTACAATGTATACAATGAACAGTTGCGAATGGTTTGCAGGAACAGATGATTTAACATGTAATGATTTGTTGACCGGAAGATCACCTAGGGTTTGGCCACAGCCATATTTCATAATATTCTTTCTGATGATGTTTGTTTTTCAGTAAGAAGATATGCAAAAAACTACTTCAAAAACGTGTTTACTAAGTGTTGGCTATCGACTGAGTTTAAGTGAAAAAACTGATTGTTCAGTCAGGAGCGACTATCCGTGTTTGGGACAAGAGATGGGTGTGATATCGTGATGATGGTATTCAAGCAAACTGTGGACAACATGGAGGATAAGTACACTGTACCCATGCTTTTGGCATGAGGAGTGATTGTTTTAAAGCCTATATGAACATCTATCAATGCAGATTATGATGTACTTCTTGAGCACGACAAGCTTACACCTTTCTCGAGCACCTGATGTCATTACTGATTTTCTGTGATTAATTCATATTATGTCCACTGCTATGTTGACTTTTACGACCATTGAAATCTGTTTGGCCAGATTATCGTGACATTGTTTCCTGACGTTGAGGTTTCACATTCATCTCAGCACCCATTGAATAACGAAAACGTTAATACTAACCGTGTGTTTTCAAATTCATCATCCTTCTCATGAAGTCTCCTGTCGATATCAGCACGCGCCTGGGCGACCTCGAGAGTAGCACGGACGACCTTGGCCTCCTCCTGTTCCAGAGCGGACTCGGCTTCCTCCAGGGCTGCCTGAAGCTCCTCCTTCTCCATCTGGAGACGTTTGCGGGCCTTGTCCAGATCGTGTACACTGCGGCCTCCGTCCGACAGCTGGTCAGTCAGGTCATGGATCTCATCTGCAGAGACACAAAACAATGCAGCGGATTCTTGTAATCACGTTCAGTTCAAAACTGCACAATAGCAGAATCTCATATACACACGAACTGTGCTGTAACGAAATCGGAAGTACTGATTCCCCGGTTATGTTAAACTAATAGTTGAGCAATTAGACACATCATTTTAACATGTATATATGGTTTGAAGTATTTCTCAAGGAGAAAACAGACAGCAGCGTTCAACTGTATGTTTAGTAACAATTTCAGCCTGCATTGTATCACAAGGGGATGTCCTCATTCATTCTAAGTAGTGTCATGAATCTGTACTCAATTACTGTGAGCTGTGTCAGGATTTAGAACTGAAATGTATGACCTGCCTTCCGTTTTTGTCATGTCTTTAGTTTAAACCATCCATTTAATTCACTACTACACACCGCCAAGGTTCTTGTTCTCCCTCCTGAGTGACTCGACGGTATCGTTGGCTTCATCAACGGACGCGCGGACTCTAAACAGATCAGCGGAGTAAGCCCTCGACTCCTTCTGGGAGGCCTCGAGCTCCGCCTGGAGGTCCGTCACCTTGGACTGCCATTCGGCAAGAGTCTTGTCAAAGGAACGTTGCCTCTTCTCAAGCGCGTTGGCGTTAGCGTTGGACTGTGGAGTAGACATTGAGTTATGGGACTGAATGAGTGTTCTTTGGTGGTGTAGCATATTTGAGAACAAGCGATCAAAACTATGACATGGATAATGCACATTAACTGTGAAATGAAATCAGTTAACGCCTTTCGAGACTCACCCTCTCGACATCGACCATGAGATCCTCAAGTTCTCCCTGAAGGCGCGACTTTGCCTTTTCAAGGCCGTTGATCTTGCCATTTGCAGTTTCAAGGTTTTGCTCAGCCTCGTTGAGTTTAGACTGCAGACGACGTCTGTAAAACATGCAATTACATTATGGAGGTTTCTGAAAAGTCTCTTGACACATGACGTATCAATTTCATATGTCCCACGAAACTTAAAACTGAGAGACTCCGTTTCACCACACCAAACCATTGAAAGCTTCATTGGATAGCAACCTGATTACACTAAGTGTTTTTATAATAAGACAAGTGTCATTGCACATTATACTCACTTAGCCTCCTCCAGTTCCTCGGTGCGGGCTTGCCCTTCGCTCTCGAATTTTGCCCTCCAGTTTTGAGCCTCGGCATTTGCCTTTGACAGCTGCCTCTGAAGGTCAGCGCGTGATTCCTGCTCCTCCTCAAGCTGCTCGCGAGATGCGTCCAAGTCGGTTTTCAAGTTGCGGACCTCAGACTGAAGCTTCTGCCGAGTCTACACAGACAATTCCAAGTTAAATACATCTGTTTCACTGCTATTGTGACATAATCGTGTGACGCAATCACCATTTACACAATACACTATCTTCACATCAACAAAACAATATGAAGCCATTGATATATGTGATATTTGAGAGGATACAAACATGAAGCCAGTTATAGCCTTTTCATAAAACCGATATCACACAGAAATCTATTTTTTCATTATGTATGAAGTCCTGGATGGGACTCTCAACCCAACAAAAGTACTAGAATCTGTAACTTACTGAGAGTAAGTGAGTGAGTGAGTGAGTTTTGTTTTACGTCGCACTGAGCAATATTCCAGCTATACGGCGGCGGATCTTACTGAGAAAGTGTAATCCCAAATATAACAAATGTTACATTTGACCACTTTCTAAATGACATTGCGTATTCACGAATGAAGTACACCATTATTAAAGTGCTCCAGATTATGTAGCCAGAATATAATGATTTATTATAAACACAGAAATAGATAAATGAAATTCTGCCCTACTCTAGTCTCATCCTCCAAGCTTCTTTTGGCGTCATCGAGAGCGTTCTGGAGAGCATTCTTGTCCTTTGTCAGTTGGCCCACTTTGTGTTCCGCCTCCTCAAGCTGACGGGTTGTCTCAGCAGCCTCATTCTGGAGTCGGTTCTTCTGGCCCTGGAGGTCATTGATCTGGCGCTGACCATCCTCGATCTTTGAGTTTAGTTCTGACAGCTGGTTATCCATCTGTTTCGAAAGCTTGGTGGACATGCCCTGGTGATTAGAATAGATTGAAAGTATAAATACAGCCTGAGGGTATACATTTGGATAAGCAATGCTGCATTGACAAAGACGTTAGAAATAGCAGAACTGGATGCAGCACTTACAGTGTTCTTCTTGACATATTCGATCTGATTATGTAAGTCATCGATCTCTCCCTTCATCTGGTTCTTCTCCTTTTCAAGACTGAAAATACAACGTTGGAATGCATTCAACAAACTAGTTCATTGTCGAAAATCGTTTTATGCCGCGTTTAGCCATATTCTGGACATATCCTAGCCTAGAGTGGACTTCAACCATTGTTACCATGTATATATAACTTTGTTCAGTAGAAAGGCCACAGGCCCATGTACAATATATATTACAATACAAAAGGTATGATGTGCACAATAACTAGAACATATTTTTATATATTCACAATAATAATGCGCTACGTCGCATAAACGCTTCCTTAATATAATTTGCATACATATATAAATAATTGCTATTTTCATTTTGAAGACATGTCTAGAATGGAACCCCATGTTTTGACTTGATTAGTCATTATTTTAACCATAAGGCCAGTTGACAATTCCTGCATGACACTGGTCGTTCGTTTGAGTTATCTTTACAATGCCTAAAACACAATGCAAACACTCCACTAAAACACCATAGGCCACGGTCTGGAAGCATATTATATTAGTAAAGAATCAGTTTATTAAATTACCGGCTCTTGACCTTCTGCAGTTGATCGACCTGCTCACTGAGCTCGTTGGTCGCGTCAGTTTGCTTCTTGCGGAGTGAGGATACCTGAGCCTCGTGCTGCATGGTGGACTCCTCAAGGTCACGACGGAGCTTCAGGAGCTCCTGTTCACGCTTCTTGTTGAGCTCCACTTGAGCGGAAGTGGCTCCACCAGCCTCGTCCAAACGTTCCCCGATCTCCTCGATTTCACGAGAAAACTCATTTCTCTGTTTCTCAGACTGTTGGAAAGAGAAAATATTTGATAATCAAGTATCTTACAGACATCTGACAGAGTAAGTGTACGTTTGTTCTCAAAAGCAGTGCGTGTCAGACACATACCTTTAAATAAATGATAAACAATGTTTCTGACGTATTAAGACAAAGAGGCAGTGTGAATTTAACCATTTGTACTCTCTAGCTGCTACTGACCTTTGCTCTAGCAGATCGCTCAGCCTCCAGTTCCTCTTCGAGCTCCTCGATACGAGCCTGTAAAGCATCAATTCATGTTGAATCGTTCGTTCTCAACACATGGGTCACATCTCTTAAACACCACCCACTATATCAGAATATGAACATGTCCATGGCTGAAGTGTGACATTACATTACCATGTCATTTGCTAATTTGGATTTAGATGGATCTTGTCTACAGATATGCACACATGAATAAAGAGAAATGGCCATCACATGTTATAAAAGCTAAATTACGTACACCAGGACAGTGGTTCTTCCTCGTGGGGGAGGCTTTGAAGAATTGTGCGGGACTTAGTACAAGGAGGGGTAATAGGTTATCAGATGGGGCAATTGGATAACTTCAGTCGGGATGGAAAATAGTGGAAATGTGTGTCTCACCTGAAGGTTTGAGAAATATTATTTTGGTGGTTTGGAGGAATATACAATGAAGGCAACGTTTCAACAAGAACATATAGTCAAGAGTGGGGTTTTGTGTTTTGGGGGATACTTGGGGATGCAAGACGTAATTAATATGGGCAAATTGTTTTGGAATAATTAATTTGGGAAGGATGTTTTGAACAGATAATATCTAGAAGGAGAAACATGATTGGATGGGCAAAACAAGGGTATGGTCACGCTTCAATGATCCCAAACTTACGTATATATAACCGATTCATCGTCTGAAATCAATTATGTTTACCGTAATAAGGTTGAACTTCACATGATAAAAATCATTGTACACAAACTGTTTTTATTACAAAAATAAAACAAATGATAAATGTTAGTGAACTGAGACAAAAACATGAATGAACAAATTAATGCTTAACTCAATAATAGTTCTTTGCATTACAAGATTTATGTTGCAAGTTGTGAATGCGTTGTCTACCTGAAGCTCTTTAATCTTCCTCTGGAGTTGAGCAACTAAGGATTGTTCTTCTTCCAACCTGGAGTTAAGACTGTTGATCTGCTGGTCCTTCCTTTAACAAGAATCATACAGCATGGTCCTAAACTATTTACCAATCACATACATAAAACAATCATGTCCGAGGGCCGGAACAATTAACGCTATCATTTACACAGTGAAGTCTGAACTCGTGGAAAGGATTGAGGTGGTTGTTAGAACAGACGTAGACAGGTAGTAACAGTTAACTCCCTTGACGTTGTTAACAACTGGTTGATCTTTGTCAGTTAGTTTCATGGAACGTACTTTCTGCCTGCCTCTTCGAGATCCCTCTTTGCCCGATCAAGTTCTTCAATTGTCTCATTCGATGCCTTCAGCTCCTGTTCTACCTTCCTCTTGGCCTTCTCAACATCACCTCGCACCTTCTTCTCTCGTTCTAGGTTATCCTCAAGCTATAACACACAGATAGCACTCATATGATATTCGTAAATGTATTCTATCAGAAAAAAACGATGTAGTTTATTTGGGTTTTACGGCACTTTCAGCAATGTTCAGCAATTTCACAACAAAATGACATTCTTTCAGGCGAACATGTGTTTGTGAACTTTCTAACGGTACTTAATGGTGAGTCAAAGACACGTGCTCATGATAATCGTGCAATGGACATGCTTTCAGCAAAGGCATCTCATGATTATCGCAACATTGTTGTCGCTATAATTCGTATTTTGCACCAGAGACTCGAGTGTACGTGTGACAAGCAACACGTTTGCCACTTTGCTACCATACAGATCAAGATGGATAAAAACTAGGAATCTAGTTGGACAATAACTGGAAACTTACAGTAGGATATGAAATACACCTTGCCTGGTGATCAACAAATTCGTTGCACAGAGATGCATGCAGGCAAAGAGTGTCACCCCGAGACTGCACTTCACTTGAAGGAACAGGTCATTCCTTTCATACCAAAATGTATTCTAAATGTCAGGAATCAAGGATACCACCGTTACTCTCATAAAATCTATACAGTTATCCATTTAGTTATTGTTTCTAGTTCAGTCAATGTCAATTGTATGGGTATATTTGTATGTGATAAGACATTCTGTTATTAAATAAGCCACATCACTGACTAACCTCATCGAGTGTTCCCTCAAGTTTCTGCTTTAGTTTGTTGAGGTGATTGACCTTGTCTTCCTCCTTCTGAAGATCTTCCAGGGTCCTCTTTTGCGTTTCCTCGAGATCCTTCCTGCCCTTGCTCAACTTGGCGATTTGTTCGTCCTGAGCTGCCATCTCATCTTGGAGTGTCTTTATCTGATTGTCTTTGGTCTGTTTGTCTTGTTCAGCCTAAGATAAATATTATACATTAGATTTGCTTTTAATTGTACGCTGTTTCCACTTCAATACATCATAGCTTACGGTCGAATCGTTTAATGTGACATTATTACCTTTGCAAGGGTACCCTCAAGGTCTGTTATATCTTTCTTATAACCTTCGATTTGGTCTAAAAATTTCTTTCTTTGATCTGCGGCATCAGCGTTTGCATCTTCCTCATCCAAAAGACGTTCCTCCAGATCCTTCAGCTGCTGCTCAAAGTCAGCTTTCTGTGTGACAAGTTGTTCAATTCGCTCTTCTTGGTCGGAAAGAGTGTCACCCTGAGACTGCACTTGAAGGAACAGGTCATTCTTGTGCCGGAGAAGGTCCACGTTCTGTTCCTCGAGTTCCTTTCCTCTCTGAACGACCTTGCCCAGTTCTTCCTTGCATTTGGCTAGTTCCTCTTCCTTCAGCTTCATCTCGTCCTCGGCACGTGCAATGTTCAGGAGGGGCTTGACCTTGGTGTAGAATCTCCACCAGAGCCAGTTTCTCATGGCAAGCCATTTACGGATATTCTTCTGGATCACAGACAAGGCAGTTCTGGAAAAACAAACGGATATTGAATAAGATGTCATTATGAAACAATTACTACATCAATAACAACACCGATACAATGATGATGGCGATATTACTACTGTCGCTACTATTAATAGGGATGCTCAAAGCGCATTTCCTTATAACTCAGTTGATCAGCTGGGGATATACAAACTGAACATCACTGAAAGGTTGGGATCCACATCCTGATCTCATCTCATTATGCAATTCGAACGAAGGTTTCCTTCGTCAATAACGTCGCATCTACATTGAAAGGACTTAAGTCAGATTGGTTTCTGAAACCTGTAACAATAGAAAGGTATGTGCAGCCACGGTTCAACCCTCTGATTGTAACACTAACCTCCTGTCCTGGAGCTTCTTGTATGATTTTCGCATCAGATAACCCCTGATGTGGGCCTGGAGCATAGAAATGATCGCGGACAGACGCTCGTCTCGGAGATCCTCAAGGTAACCAAGGACACCAGCCTTGAAGAACACTTTGGTATTGCCAAGACGGTACTCAGCTGTGTCCATCTGAAGGGCGAGCAGAATCTTCTCAGATACGACCTTGCCCTCCACGAAACCCTGTGGGATGGCGTTGGGAGCCAGGATTGAGTATCTGCAAAACAAGTGCCCTTCCGCCATAAGAAATCAAGATTTACAATGCGCTCTACCCTCAGGCATATTAATGAAAACTGAAGGAATTGTTTATGTTCTTAGATCAGACTTTCACTTTATGTTGCATCATTTATATATTCACAGTATTACGAAGACATTCAATATAAGTTCGCTGTGCACATTTATTACCACTCCTGGGAGATTGGAGTTTTGTGACGGTCTTATTTATCGGATGTAGGGGTACATACCTCTGTTTGAACTCAGAGTAAATAACTCTGCTGGGGAATCCCTTCCTGCAGATACGGATACCCTCAAGTACACCGTTACACTGGAGCTGGTGGAGCACAAGGGCAGCGTCAATCAGGCCTTTAACGAGAGATGGAAATGCATGCAGTGACTATAACGTAACTGTAAGACCATTCTCTCCTTCTCAACTCTCAAATACATACTCTCTTTCTTGGTAGTCGTCTTCTGAGATGTTCACATCAGATACTACCCTCTCTCTCCCCTCTCTCTTTGTCTCTCGGCTCTCTCTCTCTCTTCACATTAAACAGCTGTTTACTTACCTGGCTGTTTAAGCTCGTTGGGGATGATGCAACGCACGAAGTGAGGGTGAGTGCTGTACAGGTTCTTCATCAGCTTGTTCAGTGACTCCTATAGAAGGGAAGTAAAAGTTACGTTGACAATGCTCATTGTGATACTCGAGAGTGAATTGGTGCATTTGTCGCTTTTAATTTCATTTTTGCAATGTAACTGACAATATAAAAACAAGTGTGTACAATGCAAAAACCAGTGGTGTATGCTAAAATACATGATGATAACTTACCCTGTGGGTTGCAGAAATTGTCTGGAAGGCTGAGCTCTTCTTCTTTTTGCCACCGCCTCCCTCTGTAATGATTACATCAGCATGAATTGACATTTCCGTTATTGATACTGACAACCCCTAGCATCTACACTTTGGTGGTGCAATGTTTATAACTCATTACTTGTGTAGTCCGCGTTGACATTGTTGAGGTTTGGCAGCGTAAGGCTATACTCGCTCGTTCAGTCCATCACTCACTGAATACCAACCTGCAGGTGCGGCGGCTGGGAAGAGGGTCTGGACCAGCTTTTCCTTGGAGTGAGACAACAATTCCACTACCGTCTCGTTGATTGGATCCTTATTTTTCTCCAGCCAGCCAGTGATGTTATAGGGCACCTGTAGGGGGAGCAGGGGAATATTAACTTCGAGTACAGCACACAGTGGGTTCCCCGGGGCATGTCTTTTAATGAGATGATAACCAAATCTGACAAATGATAGACTAGAATAAGATTTGTATGTTTATATGATGTGGGACTACCAACCACTCAACCAGCGGTTGGTGTAGTAAACTGCAGATGTAGGAAAGATCGCCCAACATGGGTATGCTCCAGGATACTTACAGTTCCAGCGTAATGCTTCAGGCAGAAGTCGCCGTGGGCACCACCCTTGAGTTTCTTGTCCGGCTTGAGGAAGTTGGGGGATTTGCCCATATGGTTGGTGTACAGCTTGTCCTTAAAGGTCTTGTCAGAAGCCTTGGGGAACATGCACTCTTCTTCAAGGATGGACAACAAACCCATAGGCTGAAATGACAGACTATTTTAGTCATCAAGAACTCGTATTTGTATTTGAGAGTGTTTATAATTTGGAGGGCATGTGTAGCCTCTGAGTGCATACATTTATCCCAGTATAAACGGTACGAGCACGTACCTTCTCAATGAGCTCAATGCAGGCCTGCAAGTCCATGCCAAAGTCGATGAACTCCCACTGGATGCCTTCTTTCTTGTATTCTTCCTGCTCCAGCACAAACATGTGGTGGTTGAAGAACTGCTGCAGGCGCTCGTTGGTGTAGTTGATGCACAATTGCTCGAAGCTGTTGAACTGTACACAAAAGTAGGATTGCATTAGACGTGCAGGCAAAGAATGTTACCCTGAGACTGCAATGTTAGAACCAAATAATGCTTCGGCAGAACATACTTTGGATCCATTTAGGTTCTGCTTAGCAGTATAATTGAGAATTGTTTTTTAAACTGAACTTACATCAAAGATCTCGAACCCAGCGATATCCAGGACACCGATGAAGAACTGCCTTGGCTTCTTTGTGTCGAGAGTGATGTTAACTCTCAAGACCAACCATTTGAACATACGATCGTACAGAGACTTAGCCAGGGCATTAACCGAGTTCACCACCTAGAAATATAGCAGTGGCATAAATTTTGGTCATACATACGGTTTTTTTAATACCACAGTGTTCCAACATAATATCAAATCATAAAAAAGATGAGAATCAAGTCATTACATTATACCAAATCCTGTGAAATCCTGAATTGTGTGATGACATACCTGTTCCTTGGTACGACCCTGGGTGACGTAATCAGCGCCGACCTTGATTTTAGGTTTGAGCAAAGACTTCAGAAGATCACCGGCGTTCACACCTAACAGGAAGGACACCTTTTCGGCTTCTGCAAGATAAGAGTATAGGCAAGTCAAGGCGAACTTCAGTTCACATTGTTTGGTGTCAAATTCATCCATGCAGCTAGGCATCAGGATGAGTCACCTCGTTGTAGCTGACCTTCGACAACCATGTATTAATGTAAACCTGTCCCGAAACATACGCAGTTTTAGTTCGTGTTCAATACCATCTTCTTACTACAAATAATTCTATATCTATATTTACGGAACGTTATTCACCACCATTAAATGTACGTTGAAACGCATTATCCTTGCAAACAAACCTCCATCGGACGCTTACTGTTTGGAGCATATATACATATCTACCAAAGGAATTTTAATCAGTATGCAAGATCCTGTAATCCGGAACGTTGTTGATGCCGATGATTACAAACAGCGGGCTAACAGATAATGAAGAAATTTATATGAACTGTAGAACAATGACAACTATGATAGGCCGTACCTCCACTTCCGTCAGCCTCGGCCTGCTCGCCTCTCTGCTTGAACTTCATCTCGCCAAGATGGAGGATGGTACCAGTACATTTGTACATACTGTTCTTCTCAACCTCCGTGAATCCAAGCACATCGTAAGCACTCTGTCACGACAATGGCACAATGATCAATAAGATGGGGTAAACCATGACCGAAACACCTGGGACTACCTCCGAATAATGATGATTGAAAAAGTAACGTTTCCTATAAAGCAGTTATGCTGAGATTATATCTCACTTTCTTTTGCAGTGATGAAAGTTTCTTTGTCAACCTACAGGTCTTTTCCAATGTTTGTAAACAAAACTAAGTGTTGTGCAAGTGCCATAAAAGTGTTTGTTTGCAGCATGGCATTTATATTGGTTTACATAAGGGAAAAACCCTGGATACGACATTAGTTTTATGTATAAAGGGCTATATTTTACTCACATCTGTAATTTTCATTTCCTCGACGTCATCGATACCGTCGACGGTGAGGGTGCCCTGGTTGATGAAGGAGTAGAGACCAGGGTCAGGCGTGGCCAGGATCTTCTCTGAGGAAGGAAGGAAGCATTGTATGTAGGTCTGTGTCGTGGTAGATGGGGAAATACTACATGAATATAAGTTACTACATGAGGGTAGACACTTTGTGAACAGAAAGGTAGATGTTGCATGAATACGCAGGTAAATATGACATCCTGAGGGAAGGGTACATGCTACGTGAATAGGATGGTGCATACTACTGGAATAGGATGGTGCATACTACTGGAATAGGATGGTGCATACTACTGGAATAGGATGGTGCATACTACTGGAATAGGATGGTGCATACTACTGGAATAGGATGGTGCATACTACTGGAATAGGATGGTGCATACTACTGGAATAGGAACGTACATACTACTGAAATAGGATGGTACATACTACTGGAATAGGATCCTGTATACTACTGGAATAGGATCCTGCATACTACTGGAATAGGATCCTGCATACTACTGGAATAGGATGGTGCATACTACTGGAATAGGATGGTGCATACTACTGAAATAGGAACGTACATACTACTGAAATAGGAACGTACATACTACTGAAATAGGAAGGTGCATACTACTGAAACAGGAACGTACATACTACTGAAATAGGAAGGTGCATACTGCTTGAATAGGACAGCAAGTACATACCAGGGATTGTAGGGATGGCGTTTGAACACATCTGGTAGAAAATGTGGTAGTTTCTCTCTGCAGATTGCTGGAAGGTGACGCGAGATTTCTCCAGCAGGTCTGGTGGACAACAAAACATATAATCATGAGGTACAATTAGACGCCTACCACCTTCACATCGGAAACATATATTTGCCCCATCCAGCGTTTCCAAACTTCCATTCTGGGTATTTACAGTCGGCGGTATAACATAGTTTTCCATAAATGTATGAAATAGGAGAATTAAAGTCACAAGTGTTGTGCAATGGTCATTAATCAAAGATGTTTACATCTCTTACGTCGTATTAGCATTTTATCAGAGGACATGTTCAACCGTGTCAACACTTATAGTGGCATAATCATTGTCACTTTGTGGTAACGAATTTGTCAGTTTTTGGTTTTACATAACAAGCTGCCCAATTAAAATACGTGACTTTATTGACATTGCAAGTAATTTCAGCCCTAACCATGTACTACTTACAGGTCTCAATGTCGGCACCGGCGATCTTTCCAGACGTACCAAAATGGATACGGATGAACTTTCCCTGAAGTTTACATATAAGATTTGTATGAGCACAAGTAGGCAGTTCACATTACAGGCGCCCACGTCATGTAAAGCATATGTATATCAACCATAGTGTCGTGAAGATGATATATGTATACATCGGAACAGCATGGAATACATACTGTATGTCCTATACCGATCATGAATGTTCTACAAGTAGAACAGTTTCAGTGAAACATGACATTAAATATGTTGACCTCACACCATTACAGTTTGACATATTAAAGTATGGAGCTGACAGTGACAGCATGTAAGAAGCCGCGTGATATAAATGTATTATAACACCCACATTGACATATGAGAGGTGATATACAACTCTTCATCCCGAGGTCATAAGGTGATGCAACAACGCTATAAACGACAGAAACCCAGGGAGGCAAGATGATAACGTGCATCATGCTAAGATACGGATCTTTGTTGAATATATCAAGGTATCAGAGAACTACGGTTCTAATAAAACACATATGTGGTACTTTCTCAGCGACACACTCTAAATACTAAATACGCTGTCTACCTCGTCCTTGCGGTAACGTACACTACTTACCGTCGTGGATGCATACATTTGGATACACATAGTTCCTACCTATTCAGATCATGCTACTTCAGTTCGACAGAGACCCTGAACCTATCAAGCCGACTATATATGTCTAGCTATATGCATGCTTGACACTCATACGAATAGGACTTGAGTACATGTATGACTAAAGCGAGATACGTCTACCATGTGCACCATGAAACACCCACATCTCAAGATATGCATTACTTACTCCTGTTAAGAAATAGCACCATGATTACACCACGGAGCGTGGTCTTAGTGTTGACTCACTCAAAGTCCATGTCCAAGAGGTCTGAGTTTGGAAGTAAAGGTAGGATCACACTATTAATAAGGTGGAACACTTGTTAGATGAAGATAAGAAACAATGTCATAGACGAGTGTTGTTAGAAGGTGAATTATTCAACTTATTCGTTTGAATATGTTAACATATATTAACTTGTTAAGCTGATTAGGGATAAACCAATTGGGGCTTGTTATTAAGGGTTGCATTTCGAATTAACCGTAAAGTAATGAGTAAAGGGTAAATTGTGAGAGAAAGAATAATTAGATTAAATAATTCTTATATTCAATACTGAATATAGGTAGGTAATAACTTAAACGGGGATTAAACAGAATCGGCTTCATTCCTCGGGCTGGTATGTCGGGCATTACCAAACCCTAATATACTTACGAATCTGGAGGAGTTGTTATTACGAGTTGTCTTGGCGTTGCCGTACGCCTCCAGCACAGGGTTACATTGGATGATCTGATCCTCGAGCGAACCCTGTTGCGTGTTAGGTCGGGAGTTGAGGGACATGTGTTATTGATGTGTGTAGAGTTTGTGATTGGGGTGGGAGGAAGAAAACATACACGAAATTAACACGGATAATATACATACATTATATTGGTTCTACATTCATAAGAAGCATTATGAGGATACCTTTATCAACTAAAGTCTAACAACACAGCGTTTTTACGGAAAGGTAATATATTAGAGAACCGATTCATTGTTGTTTATTTTGTTGTTCCTGTTGTTGTTTTTCACTTTCTTCAGCATTATATTAAAGATACTTAATCATATTTAATTCACGGTAGTTTAGCTCTACAAACCTTCTTTTGATCCTCGTCGGATTTTCCCCCGGCAGCAGCGACGTGAGCGAAGTAGGCAATGACCTTCTTGGTGTTCTCAGTCTTTCCGGCTCCAGACTCACCACTGTAATGAGACAAATGTCATCCTGAATACCATGGACTGAGGCTGGTACCACACTGAGAACTCTCCCGACCATAATGGTTCCACACACTTAGAAAAACGGACGGTACCTATGATTGTGTTCGGTCTTGAATTCTCACTGAGAGAGTGACCTTGAAGGATGATAGGGGTAAGATGCAAAATTTTCAAAAATTGACGTTTTATAGTGCTTAATTCTGCCATGATTGGTCAAACATTCATTCACTCGGGCATTTGAAGGGGTTTGTCTCCCTCCTCTTGCAGTGTTGACCAAATCCAAACGTAGCAGACGGTGTACGACTTTGTCGCACAGGACTATGATGTCCCACGTCGTCAGGAATGATGGCACAGCATTCTATGGGAGTTGTGCTGCTGGGGGTGAGAGATGACGATTTGTGCACGGCGTCGTCCTAGAAGACAAAACATCGACCCACACGCTTTGCCAACGTGACAACAGTGTCAGTGCAGCCCAGTGACCTTTCATGCACAATATGGGGTGAGGTTCATCAGTCATACTGATGCCTTCCGACAGATATCACACCACTTCTATTCAGAGGTATCAACATTGTCATTTCGACTTCGCCAGACCACGTCATCACGGAAGCGCAATGTAAACTCCGACTCCTCATGAAATCATGACACGTGACCAACGATATTCACCCGTTTTGACGTTATGTAAACCATTGGCGTCTGTGGGCAATATGGTCATGTCCAAGCCTCAGCACAACACAGAGCATGGAGTTAAGCTGTACGAAGACGATGTGTAATCGTCCGCCCCGTAACTCGTACGGTAGCTTGATGAACGTTTGCTTGCAGCAATATTATTCGCTGAGTTCGATCTTTCTGGAGGCTGGTCGACCACTCCTAACGTCGACTTGGGTTGCCCTGAATGGTTCTCATTTTGGATATGTTGGTACCCGTTTCACAGGCAGCTAGACAGAAATGTTGGTCCTAGGAGACTATTAGGACATCCTGTCACCCTACGCACTTGGGTGATACCACTGCCTGCAGCACGTTCAACGTCTTTTATAACCATAATCATTCTTGCGCCGCCATACAGTTGGAATATGGCTGAGTGCGGCGTAAAACTAAACTGACTTACTCTTGCACAGGATGTTTGTCGGCAACATTCATCCTTGTTCGAATGCTTAAATTAATATATATATTTCAGAAATCCTGTATTTATAAGAGTATAGAAGTAGTTTAATGGAGATTAAGGTCAGAGGTTACTACTTACGTGATCAACATAGACTGGTTCTCACGATCTGCAGAAAGAAAGGTTTCTCATAAGCTACTGCGCAGTGTTTGGACGGTTTATTTCCCGATATTTTATATAACATATTTTTCGTTTTCTCATTTATTTTGTGTGCAAATGGTACAACATTGTATATCCTGAAACACTGTTTTACAAATAAATCCAATTGACTGAACATACAAACTATGAAAGACACCATATGGTGACGACTGACCTTGCACCATGAACTGGTAGGCGTTGTCAGAGATGGAAAACAGGTGAGGGGGCATCTCGGTCTTCCTCTTGCCTCTGTACTTGCCAACGATGGACGGGGTGTAGATGGGGAGTCGGCGGTAGGGGTTGATGGCGACACAGAAGAGGCCAGAATAGGTCTGATAAGAAAAATCACATAATAACAGGAGAAACTCGATATATGTAGAACAAGCATCAATATGTGGCTATGTGCATGTAATCAGCCGGTAATATCAAACATCTTTCGCGGCTTAGGAGGTGGTAGCCTGCCTGTCTACCAGTTTGAAGTACAGAGGACTTGTACGTACATAGATAATAGCAGCTTCGTATCTGGCTCTCAGATTGTGGAGAACGCTAGCCTCATTTAGATATGTCAAGTTGGCCATGTCCTCGATCTTCTCGAACTTGGGAGGGTTCATCGACTGGATGTCATCCTTCTTGAAGGTTTTGACCTGAAGACGAAACATTGAGATCATGTAAACAATTAAGTATTTCCAAAATAGATACTTAGAAATCCATACAATTAGTTAACAATGTCAGGTGAGTTATAGTTTCTTTCCTAAACCATGTGCCATGCTTGCATACGTGTTTGAAATAGTTTATGCTCATTATTATTTCTGATCATGGTGTTCCTTGACGTCAGGGGCACTTTTATGGACTTAGCACCTGTCTTGTAAGGAATGCATGTAAAATATTTACAAAACGTGTGGGGTAGCTTACATCCAACTTGTCCGTCTTAACGGTGATTTCCTCTCCCTTGGTGCTCTGGATTTCAGCAGCTCTGAAGCCTTCCTTTTCATCAGGAACCCAGCAAGCCTTCTTGCCGTCAAAGGGTGTTACCATTTCCTTCATCATCTTCTTGCGGTCAATGGCAAGATACAACATATCCGGGTCTGCAGGGTCGTAGGACGCCATTTTGGATGATGGGGTGGGGGCAAAGCTCCTCGAAAATTACAGCAACCCGAAATCGGGAGTTTGCCTGAAGATGGACAACACAAGGTGTGCACCAGGCCAACTGAAGTCGAGCAGAACAGCCCTAGATAGCCTAGCTGGGGAAGAAATAATGACGTGTTGTTAATACAAGCACTGCAATACTGTAAAGTAAATGGTGGCCGATATTTGTTATTTCAAACTATCAATAATTTCCATTCTGTATGAACTATGTGTGTGTATGTACAGTCAACTGCTCTCTTGTACTACTGAACGGATGAAGGTTATACCTTAAATATTTGAAATTCTGTGTGAGAAAAGTTCAAAATTCTAGGCAAACTACACACACATATATCCTTATGCCTTCAGCTTGCATTTCGAGTGGAGGTTTGGAGATTTCATGTTGCAACTTTGAGCGTTTACACTTTAGATATGGAGGCGGACTCCGCGGATAATATAACACTGAGTACACAAATATTGTCATCAACTGTGGGAATAGAGTTTACAAAGTATGTGCCTTAAAAATGTCACATTGACAAATAATGTTCTCTACAGTGCTGTTCGTACTAGATTGCAATTATCCTTACCATAAGAGTATAGTCTAAATAGAATAAAAACATAGCTGTGCTACGGCAAGATTGACCGAGGCCCACTTAGGTGAGTTTATATGGAACTGGCTTTATGGTAGATGCGAAACAATTTATCCATGGATTATGACATGTCATAGCTGCAAATTGAAACATTAATGCAGTAAGTTGTAGTTCACTTAACCCATCAGATTCTAATATCTGTGTTCATACTACCAGTTTACTGTTAACGCGGGTATTCCGGGTAGGAATACTTCCTACTATCATGATTGCCGTACTGAGTGGATCGGGTGGACACACTCGGTACATTCGTTAGGCGATGGCACCGGTCGTTATTCCTAATATTAGTCACTGGAATTGCTATCTACCTGATTATCTACCTTGCTGTAACTGGAATTGGCTAACGGGTGTAAACAACATATGATATCTTCAAAGACATCGTCCATCGAATCCCCTATGTAGGGATACTACGTAAACTAATGGGCCATAAAAGCGTCAAACCTCACTCACCCACTCATGTAGAGTCATAATTCCCATCAGTATTTATATAACAAAGTGTGGAGTATATGTCAGATCTTACACTACTTCACGTATTGTCATCCCTAAATAGTGGTTGACGTATGATTTCAATTAGTTATTATACTACATATGTAAACCTTAACCTTTTAGAACACAGCGTATATTGCCGATGTGACGTTAAATATGAGATCACTTGAACACAGCGTATATTGCCGATGTGACGTTAAATATGAGCTCACTAGAACACAGCGTATATTGCCGATGTGACGTTAAATATGAGATCACTAGAACACAGCGTATATTGCCGATGTGACGTTAAATATGAGCTCACTAGAACACAGCGTATATTGCCGATGTGACGTTAAATATGAACTCACTAGAACACAGCGTATATTGCCGATGTGACGTTAAATATGAACTCACTAGAACACAGCGTATATTGCCGATGTGACGTTAAATATGAGCTCACTAGAACACAGCGTATATTGCCGATGTGACGTTAAATATGAGCTCACTAGAACACAGCGTATATTGCCGATGTGACGTTAAATATGAGCTCACTAGAACACAGCGTATATTGCCGATGTGACGTTAAATATGAACTCACTAGAACACAACGTTACTGATAACTTCCGGTGTATAACCTTTGAAAAGTGGCTATATTACTTGTCTCGACAGTGCATGTTAACGACATTTAAGCTCCTCTCCGGCTAATGTAGTGACTAACTCACTAATTCACAGATAAGTAACAACTTTCGAACACTTCAAAGTTAATCAAAATACTTCCTGCATCTGTTATAAACTTCTTTAAGTGGCATTTAGAAGCTGGTATGATAAAGAAGATGAACCAGTTTTATGGGCCGACAACTTCTTTATTACAGTAGAGGAGGCGTTTCGGTGATGCGCACTTCCCTGATAACGGCGTGTGCATCTCCACCGAAACGTCGCATCTGTTGCAACAATTAACGTGGTTGTCAATTTACAAAATGTGTCTTTCTTCTTCATCTGTTGTAAAGTATCAATGCATTTTAGCTGTTATTGCAATAAACATAATGTGGATAAACTGAGATTATATTGAGGGGCAACATATATGCCAGTGATTGGTGGTGGCTAAAATTTGAAAAACGGGGACAGGTATAACCCATTGTGGTGTATTGGTACGGATTTCCTAGTGGTGTTTTGGGCCTTACGTTTGCTGTGTTTGGCCTTTTAAATGGCTGGTTATCATTTCACCTACTTCACAATTGGCCTACATCCCAACTATCCTTCACTGTAGTACTGTAGGCGAATAGGGACAGCATAAACACCCCTTTGAAAATAATGAGCTCGTCTGTGAATATATATCAAGCGCATTAGAAAGATATTATACTTGAATTGAATTGTTAACATGAAACAGTGTGCTTGCATGCCTTTCTTCAGCCCGTTCTATGTAAAAACGTTCCACTCAATGACAACTTCGTATTGCCTGTCATTTCCTGTAGATATTCGGACAATGACACGTCATCACAGCTTTTATCGTAACTTAACTCACGATTATAAAACCCGACTCACTAACTCAAGGGTGCGCTGCGAATGATTGACATATTCCGGAGGTAAATTCTATTCACGTTAGCAATATTCACATTTTTACAGAGGTAGGGAAACACACATCATACATTTAGGTAGTGAATGAACATAAGCCGAGATAGCAGTACAGCCCATAACTCGTGGATGTGTTTGTCCTTGACAGTACTCATCTAGAGGTCAAACATCAGACTGCCTTAGAGAGTGTTTGAAAACGGTATAAGAATCTATACCGAAACGTCGCCATTGTTTAAATAAAGAAGTTGATCATCAATAAAGTCTTGTCATCCCCTGGAGAGTGGTAAGTATGAATAATTGATGCATATATGCTGGGTGTCATTTCATACAAATCATGTTTACAGAATGCTGATGTTGAAATATGCAGTGGTGTACCTATCGACGTAGATCAAAGCCGGTTTGTATGTCCTTTCCTAATATGGAATTAGGCCCTCCCCTAAAACTTAGAGGCGTGGCCTATTCCCGCCTACGTATTGCATTAGAGATGCTAATTATAATCTGCCGCTCACTGCCATAGTCGGTGCCAGCAATGCTGCTACTTTAAAAATACAATTTGACTGGTTATCCTGACCTCTGAACTATTAAGTTACCGGTAGACTTAAAAACAATCAGGTTTTATCCGTAGTTTCGTGCATAAACTGTAATATGATATAACCCTTATCAAACTGTAACATGGTATAACCCTTATCGGCATTTCTCTAAAAACTGATCACGAAGTCACACATACTAAAATATTTACTGTACAGAATCCTACCCTAAGGCGGATCTGCTGAAGGTGACGGATGTGTTTGCCTCTAATAACGCTGTGTTAACTTTGCATCTTATGCATTACATATATTCGCGTCTTTTGAACAATACTTCAACTACAACTCAGGTTCTTTATCAGTATTACCAAATTCATTATCCTTCCACAGGTATGTTTCACGGAATCTGCATGAGAAGTCTGTGTGAAGGTAAGCCAGGTAAGGAACATTGATGTGTGATGTCATTGATAACGCTAACATATAAATACTACCATAATAAAGCTCAGAGACATAAGATAATGGTGAAATGTAATCACAGTTGAAGTGCAACGTTAGGGACACAAACTATTACATAATGCATAAAATACACCTTTAAAACGCCACGTAATTAATAGAGTGAACAGGTATTAGCAGGGGTGAACCAGAACACTAAACACTCGATTATAGCACTTCCACACAGATCAGAAAATAGTCCAAAATCCAGAGAACTGTATAGAAGCACAATCCAGGAATCACCAGAGAGCTCCAAGTATCCGCAGGAGACCGGCTCTACAGCCGAGGTAAACTGCTCGGCACGGAACACACTTCAAACTCCGTTCAGATGTGACAAGCAGGGTGAAGGAGATGGTAAGGGGAGTGATAGGAAAACGCCGGTTGGAGTCAGTAAAACAGCAAAAACATAAGTAGAATAAAACTTGATTCGTGCAAAGGGTATTTTGGGGTATGCAGGGTATGGTTCAAATAAAGGAGGAGGTTTGGATTGGGTTTGAAACTCAAGGGTATGTTTAAAATTGTGACAGGGAGACACACACACTTCCAATACTTACGTTTAAAAGCTGTTCTGAACGGGAGCTCGAGCTCAGCTAATTTATACTCCGGGCTATATGCCCTAGGGCGTAGAGATATTTTGTTAAACTCGGTTTCATTGGTTAGGCGAGGATCATTAACCAATGAAAACTTATGAGAGAAGAGACAAGACACTACCTGAATATGGAATACATGTTTTAAGCGTCAATTGATAAACTAGCGCCTGGGGGTGCGCGGGGGGTTGTTAAGTTAGGGGGATTGGTTAAACACTAGTCGCGATAGTGACTCGCCGGTTCTACTGCCCACCACGATCATATAACTAATCAAGATATTTGTCTCCTTGGTTCATTAGCACCTAGCCAGATGACGTACGCACAGGAATTCCCGCCGCTCTGTTAGCATCCCTTGGAATGTTACATCCTGATGCATTGGTTTGATGTTCGCAGCAATATGTACATTATGACTCTGTTTTTATCATCTACTTAGGTCGGCATGTAGATGTACTTGAACCCTGGAACTGATTCAAGTAATAATTTAAACATTTCAAAAATATTCTTACGTTATCGTGAAAAACGTGATTTTTCAGCGTTACTTTAAATGATTAACATGAAAACCCGATACTACTGGGGTTGGTGATTTTCTCACTAGATAAACACAAGTCAGTCATTGTTTCCAATTACAGATACCCTCTATCTGTGCATTGTTTTGACGTCGTGGTTGGTGAGCCATGTAACGTGACAATGGTAGAGTTTTCTGTATATATGCATAGGACGTCAATAGTCTACATGTTCTACAAGATATACGAGCATGAAACTACACAACTTCACCTTGGCTGCTACATCCTAACCAAAACGTTAAAAGTCACAAGCTGAGGTAGATAAT